CCGCATTTCTTCTATTTTGTTCCATGCTCTAATATCAAGACTAGCATCTCTCGGAAACCAGGGGCAACATACCTCAACAAAGGCTAAAAATCTAGCCAATTGAGCATGAGTAATTTTGATACCCCTTTTCTCTATCATATGCTTAATGGTATCAAAGAGTCATCGTTCCTTCGACTCATTATGGCCCATAGCTTCTCTGAAGTTCAGTGTTTCTGCTCACTCTTACTCTGTATTCCTTCACAGAGGGGCCTGCAGTACCCACGAGCAGAGTCCTATCCGTCCCTGTAGGAAGGCTTACCTTCAAGTCCCTGTTCGGGCGCCACTTGCCAGAGTCCAGCTCCAGCAGGAAAGGGTTCCTCGAAGAAAAGGACGGCATCGGCGAGGAAGGAGACACAGACACGGGATCAGGTTGTAAGCATCTCCTCCTGACAGCCTCGGAGGGACTTTATTTATTCATTAGAATATCTCCTTGTTTTTCCATTCTTTCATAACATGTGATTTTGTTTTTTACATTTTATTGCAACCATTTCGGATTTAAAAACAAAGGTGCTAAACAGAGCATGACAGTGCGAGACAAAGCGTGACCTATCTGCTACTGTGTGCTAAAGCGAAAAAGTTGTATTTTTACTTTTGCTCAAAGGTTTATCTAAAGTTTATTCTTTCTCCAAAGGCAGCTTACAATGTGTGCACCCTATCTTATCAAAGGACTTATTCCATTTCTATATGTTTTCGTCTCTTGTCCTTGCTCCATAGACACCACGGAGGATTGCTCCTCTTAATCTTTACCCAGAGGCTGACGGATGATGCCCGCACCCTTTTTCCCTTAATCTTATACCATTTGTTCATGTCCTCATTATCAACTGAACATTTTTTCATGTGTCTGTTAGCCATTTGTATGTCTTCTTTGGAGAAGTGTATGTTCATGTCTTCTGCCCATTTTTTGGCTTGATTATTTGTTTTTTGGGTGTTGAGTTTGAGAAGTTCTTTATAAATTTTGGATACTAGCCCTTTATCTGATATGTCATTTGCAAATATCTTCTCCCATTCTGTTGGTTGTCTTTTGGTTTTGTTGACTGTTTCCTTTGCTGTGCAAAAGCTTTTTATCTTGGGTGCCTGGGTGGCTTAGTTGGTTAAGCGACTGCCTTTGGCTCAGGTCATGATCCTGGAGTCCCAGGATCGAGTCCCACATCGGGCTCCCTGCTCAGCAGGGAGTCTGCTTCTCCCTCTGACCCTCTTCTCTCTCATTCTCTCTCTCAAATAAATAAATAAAATCTTAAAAAAAAAAAAGCTTTTTATCTTGATGAAGTCCCAATAGTTCATTTTTGCCTTTGTTTTCCTTGCCTTTGGAGACGTGTCTAGCCAGAAGTTGCTGTGCCCAAGGTTGAAGAGGTTGCTGCCTATGTTTTCCTCTAGGATTTTGATCGATTTCTGTCTCATATTTAGGTCTCTCAAAAGATTTTATTTTTAAGTGACCTCTACACCCAATGTAGGGCTCCAACTTACAACCCTGAGATCAAGAGTCGCATGCTCTACTGACTGAGCCAGCCATGCGCCCCTTATTCTTAAAAGCTTGTTCATGAGAATATTGCTGGAACAACAGTTGCTGGTAGGTCATCAGCCAATCTGAGTCTATTGCCACCTTGACAGTGTAACAGAGTATGGGAATGAGAGGACAAAGTCAGGGTATTTTGATATTTTGAGGTTTGGGGGGCTGGTTTAAGACAGGTCTTTCAATGCAGGAGCCTGATTAGGATTGGTGGACACAATGAGGCAGAGGTTCCCAGGGGGAAGGTTTAGAAGTGTCTTGATGTATAAACAGTCATTTGATACTATATATTAAAATACTGAGCAGTCTGATGTTCACTTAAATTGATTTGATTTCAGAAAGCTCCTAACAGGAATAATAAAGTCATTTGCAACTTTTTATCTCCCTGGGCAAGAATTCCCCGGAATAGTTGAGTCATGTTGTCAAGGAGGGTCATGACATAATTTGTTTTTGCCATTCAGCAACTTTGAAGCATGACTTAGCAGTTTTTACATTAACAAAAAACTAGTATTGCTGTACAATGTTGATTTTACTGAGAGATTTTTTTTTTCTTTTAGAGAGGGGGAGAGATAGGGGTAAGGGAAGAGGGAGAGGGAGAGAGAGAATCCACGTGCAGCAGGGCCGACCTCCACTCTCAATTCTGCTGCTGCCTTTGCCAGGCAGACATTGTCACACAGTCCTGAATTCAAATTGTACTTCTCCTATCCCCAAATGTGTGACCACATGTAAGTTACCCATGCAGTTGTAAAATGTGCATAATACTGATCTCAAAGGGTCATTGCGAATATTGAAAATAAGGGAATTAATAAATGTAAAAAGCTGGATATAGAGTTGGTATTCCAAAAATTACAAATGATAAAAGAGTACTTAGGTTTCTCATCGTAGCCTCCGGGGTCTGGTGGCTGGGCACTCTCTGTGTCTAATGATTTTTATGTGTAAACAACTTTGATGGGGTGTTGGACAATTCAGTTTGGTTCTGACACTAACTGCCTGGGGTTAACAGACTCACCAGGACTCATTCCCATAGGACTGCCCACCCTCACTTCAGATGCCAGTAATAAGTATCAGGTCCCCAAGCTTCTCCCACTTCTGTCAAAGTTTGGCTACAAAGCCAAGGGTCCCCAGCCCCCAATTCCCCGTCCCCCCCACCCCTGGTTCCATAATTTGCTTCTATGATTCACAGAACTCAGGAAAATGCTCTGCTTGCTGTTACATTTTGTTATAAAGGATGCAAATGAACAGCCACATGAAGCAGTATACAGGGCAAGGTCCAGAGACACCTGTGCACGGGAGCTTCTGTTCCTCGGAGTTGGGGTACATCACCCTGCTGGCACATGGATGTATTTGCCAATTTGTAAGCTTTCCGAACCCATTGCTTAGAGGTCTTTAAAGAGGTTTCATTACATAAGCATGACTGATTATATCATTGGCCATTAGTAACTGAACTCAATCTCTGGCTCCCTACCCCTCCCCAGAGGTGGGGGGGGGGATGGGGCTGAAGGTTGCAACCCTCAAATCATACCCCTGGCTGTTTGCTCTGACAACTAGATCTCATCCTGAGTCTATCTAGGGAGCTTCCCAGACTTAACCTCATTAGAGTAAACTCAGGTATGGTTGAAAAGGGCTCATCATGAATAACAAAAGATGCTTCAATCTCTCGTCACTCAGAAAATTCCAAAGGTTTAAGGAGCTGTGTGCAGGAACTGGGGACAAAGACCAGATTTATTTTTATTATTATTATTATTCCACTGGCTACCCCCTGGTCTTTGACTACAGATCCTGTGCAGCAAAATGATCATACCTGTCAGAACGTTTACATTTGATGCAGCATTTATAGAACAGATATAGCAATAGTACCAACATGAATATACCTAACAGATTAGGAGAAGCCAATGGGGGCTAGAGATAGATTTGAAGAAACAACTAATTTGTTCCATAAAGCTATTACATACACTTTCATGTTCTTGAAAATTACATATATTTTCCCTATTCTGCTTAATCCACAAAAACAGTGGTGATATGTATTTCTGCGTAGCACACTGGCATATTGGCTTGGCATTTTATTTTGTTATAATAAAATTTGATTGCTAATTGGATTGTTCTTTTCTCCCTTGATCTAGTGCAGTTTGTGCTTATGATAAGCTTGTGCTGGACTATTTAGCACAGAAATCAACTGATGGTTAGCTAGATCCAGTTCCTCCTCAGGCCAGTATTTTTCTGTAGATATGTCCCGAAGAGGTTTTGACACAATCCCCCAATACATTTGGTAACCAATACTGGTGTTATCATAAGACTTATTTACATGAGCTAGTCGAATCTTACCAATGCCACTGGTATTATACCATATTGCAGTGTGGTCATGGTACAGTTTTGTAGCCTGAAAAATAGGAGTCCAAAGATACAGTCATGTTACTAGAGTTCCATTTAGTCATTAATGGTTGGTCCACTTCATTATCATATCATATGACCAGTATGTCTTCCAGAGTGATCTCACTCAGATTTTCAGGCTGCCATTTGACTTTGTCAGGTTCCAAAAGCAGTGTGGTCTTGGCAAACACTAGCTTTACACTCTGGGCATCTGGTGTAACTGTGCTAAGAGACAATACTATTTCCTTGCTCTGAGCCTCTCTAGAGTGAGTAATATAATATTGGGTTTCCCTTATTGCCTACCTCGCTTATCATTTCTTTACCCTCAGCTATTATTTCTCCTTTTCTCCATATGTGTTTTATATACATCTTTTTTACCCAAACTTTTCCACCTTTGGAAGGGACATTGGTCCAGATTTCTGGCAGTGATACTAGTCTAGCTAGTGCCTCTCCCTCAGTCCAGTCCTATTCATACAGGGTAGCGTTACACATGTACACAACTAGTGGGCTGTCTCAACCAGTAGGCGTGACAATAGCATTTGCTGTCAACTCCAACTTTCCCAGATGGGGTGCAGGCACAGCCTACCCATCAGGTCCTCACAGAGTTCTGACATAAAGGTTTAAAAGCATAGTTATGGCTTCCTACTTAGGAATCATCTCTGCTTCCAGTAACTGCAGTTGGATCCCTGGCTCTGGAAGCATGGCATCAGGTAGGAAAATAGAAAGTTGTGGTGACATGGGGGAGAACTGTATAATAACACCAACATTCTCCCACACCCCCTCCCCCGGTTCCCCCAGAAAACTGGAGGAATCTCTCCAGTTGCGGACCCTTAGCCCCGCTCATGTTGAGTGTGAGCACATGTTCATGAAGTTGGGTAAGCCAGTCCCTCACACCTTTATTTCTCCCCCTACTCCTGTTTTAGACAGCAAATGTTCAACTGCCCATTCCAGTTCTCCCTTAAACCACTCCTCTGAGAACGATATGAAGCATGGTATGCCCATTTGATGTGATATCTCTTGGCCCACTGTTGGACACTATGAGCTGTAAAGTGCGTCCTTTGGCCAGAAGAAATGAAACTCAGTCACCTAAATTGGTCCAGTATATTGCGTTCCAATCCTTTAATAGTAGTTTGAACATCTGCATACATTTGGGTATGCAAAGCCCAGTCTGGAGTGTCTATTCCTCTCAGGGACCATTTATAGCTTCCTGGAGCCACCAGCATTTGTCCAATGTATACACTTCCCAGGTATTGATGAGACCTTTCTCCCAGAGAATTTTCCCCTATAGCCATTTGCAGCCTCTCTTGTTGGCAAACAGAACAGTTCCTGGTGTTTTGTGACTCAGAGGGTGCAAGAGGAATATGTGGAGATTCAGCTCATCTCTGCACTGCTACAGCACCGCCATGTCCTCTCATTGCACGGACACAGATATTCACTTCAAGGGAGAGCAACAGAAGGTCCACTTGGTGTTCCAATCATCTTTTGAACCTGGGAAAGAGTTCTGATGGGCATCAACATGTCTTACTTTAATGCACCCCTTAAATTCCCACAGCAATTGCCACAGGGCTATTCCCTCTATAGGCATCCCTTTACCAGTCAACTTTTCCACTGCTCATTTACCAATGCTGACCACATGGCCAGCATTGCCTCCTGCCCATAAGTTGGTAAAAACTCGAAAGCTCTGACCTTTGTTCAATTCTTCCATCTCTGATATGAAAAGAGCATGCAGTTCAGCTAGTTGAGCTGATTTATTCTTACCTTCTTCAGAGTCTTTCCATCTGCAGGTCTTAATGTTGCAGCCTTGCAGTATCCAAACAGGATACTATTCATTTTCCTTGGAGCAGTTCTTGGTTGGTCAATTAAGTGGTGTTCTTGGGCACTGTCCATGTGGTGACAGGTTTTGGTGGCTTCTGAAGTGGTTCCACAGTCAGTCGTTGGGAAAAGAGCTTACCTTCCTGCACATACAGGTGGGTGCCTCCTCAATTTCCCTGGTAGCATGCTCCTGTAGAAACTGTTTTCATTTTATTCTGGAACTCCTCGGGACCCTACCTTCCTTATTAGAGTGTTTCTCTGACATCACCCAAGACACTATGGGTATCTCAGGTTTCATGGTTATTTCATGTCCTTTAGCCATATAGGCAGCCTCAAATGCCCAACAGCAAGCTAGTGATTGTCTCTCAAATGCTGAGTACTGGGCAACAGCATGTGGAATTTTCTGGTTCAAAATTCAAAGGCTGCCACTGGGAGGCACACAAAGGCTTTCACTATGGTCTCCAGTCTGCATGTCCACTGGCAGACACTTCTAAAATTATACCTGAGTGGGGATCATAGGGCTTAAAAGCACTGAGAGAGTTATCCCTGTATATAATTGAGATGTGGCTTGCTTTTGTTCAGCTCCCCACTCAAACATGGCCTTCTCTCAAGAAGTCTTCAGGAACTAGCAATATTTCAAAATGCGGAATATGTGTTCTCCAAAATCCACATAAACAAACCAAAACGCTGAGCTCCTTGTTTGGTCCTAGGGGTGGGTAATAAATAACAGCTCACTATTTTCAGTCACTTGTGAAATGTCCTGGGTGGCTCCTACCCAGATTATTCTTAAGAATAATCACTGGTTGGGTGGGTCCTTCAATCTTTATTGGATTTATTAACCTCCCTCAGTTGTTCATGTGAGTCACTATAGCATTCAAGTCAGTCCTAGCTTGCTCTTAGGTTTCTAATATTATCATAAGTTCATCAATATAGTAGATTATTACACTTGGGACCTGCATCAAATCTAAACCTTTTCTGACCAAATTACGACAGGAAACTAACTGGTGTATCCAGATCACCCTGTGGCGGTAAAGCAGTAAAGTAGGTGTAAATCATTCTGCTCAGCCACACTACCTTGCTCTTCCCTTGCTCTTCCTCCCTGAAAGAAGGAGAGAAATCTCCCATGTGAAAGGAACCCTTCCTCTACCAGGAGGAAGGGAGACATCCTTATTATCAGAGACAGGGAATTTAGGGCTAAATAGCTGTATAAACAAACTTAGTTAATCTCAGTATTTATTACCTCTGGTTCAAATTCCTCTGCCTTGCCAATTCCTCACAACTGTATTGTTTCTTTGTCTAAAAGGTGTAGAAGCTTTCTGCTTGGGTCACTTCTTTGGGTCCTCATTCTCTTGTGAAGGCTCCCACAGACATGTAAAAATTTAGCATAACTTGTCTATTTTTCTCCCACTAATCTGTCTTTGTCAGTTTAATTTTCAGACCCAACCAGGGACTCTAAGCGGGGCAGGGGAACTTCTCCCTGGGATCTCTGTGAATTAGAACCTAGAAAGAAGAGATACTTACTGCATGCTTGATAAGTATGCAAATAGAAAAATAAATGATTGAATGAATGAGTACATGGTTGGAAGACACCACAAAACCCAATACACAAGGATCAATCCATCTGTAGTATTTGCCAGAACAGGTGATTCAGGATCCATTCTTCTATCTTCAAATTTTCCACTAGTTCAGGTTTCTCCATACCTCATTTTATTATGAACATTTTCAAATATACGAGCAATTTGAAAGAATATACAATGAACTCATTGTACACAGAAACCCTCCCCCAGACTGAACAGAAGTTAACATTTCGTCATATTTACTTTCTTTCTTTCTCTTTCCATATTCTTTCTATTTTTCTCTCTAAAAAAAAATTTTTTTTTAAATTAAGCTGTAGACAACCATGATACTTTGCCCCTAAATATTCCAGCAAGTATTTCCTGGGAAGAATAACATTTTCCTACTAACCACAATTCCATCATCACACCTAAGAATATTAACAATAACTCTATAATCTGATCTAAAATATGGAGTATCTCAAAACTTCTCCATTTGTCTTAAGAATATCTTTTATGTTTTTTTTTCCTCTGTCTTTTTCTGAAGTAGGATCTAATCAAGTATCACATATTGCCTTTGGTCATGTCTCTTGTCTGTTTTAATCCAAAGCAGTCCCTCCCAGACTTCTTATCCTTATCATTGGTTTTTTGTTTGTTTTGTTTTTATAAACTAGGCCAGCTGTCTTTAAAAACATGCTACATTCTTGGTTTGTCTGGTGTCATTTAAGTTGTTCCTTTAGTTCCTGTATTTCCTGCAGTCCTGAGAAGTATAGACACTTGATTAGATTCACATTAAATACTTTTGCCCAGAATACTTAGGTTTTCTATAGCTGCTGTAACAAATTATTATAAATTTAGTGGCTAAAACAACACAAATTCATTATCTTATAGTTCTGTAGGTTAGAAGTCCTGCATAGGTTTCACTGGCTAAAATTAAGGTGTTGGAAGGGCCCGTACCTTTCCAGAAGCTCTAGGAGAGAGAATCTGTTTCTTGGCCTTTTTCATCTCCTAGAGGCTGTCTACTTTCCTTAGTTGTAGCCCCCTTTCCCACCTTCAAAGTCAGCAACACTGCATCCCTCTGGCCATTCTTCTGTAGTCATGTCTCCCTCTGAAAGCTCCTCCTTTAAGGGGTCATGTGATTAGATTAGGCTTACCTGGATATTCAGGGTGATAATTTAATCTGCAAAACTCCTTTTGTCATATAAGATAACACATGCGCAGATTCCAGGAATTAGAACATGGACATCTTTTGTGGGAAGCAGTATCATCCCTACCACAACTACACAGGTGATGCTTTGTGCGTCATCATGTCAAGAGTCCCATTAGGAAACTGTCCTTCTACCAGTGAAGCTAAATTTCATGGGGTTCAAAAAGTGAATTGAAGAGGGGAGCAGTTAGCAAAGCCGTGTGCCTCAGAAGTATCTGGGTGGGGAAGGGAGGGGATAAAAAAATGTTAGCTGCCAGAACCTTACCCCAAAGATTCTGATTCATTAGGTCAGGGCTGGGGGCTGTCATATTAGGTCTTATTTCCTCCTGCAGAGGTGGATGAATCACAGTTGCCGAAGCCTGGGGCCCAGCCTTGGAGGAAACAGGTAAGAGATAACAGGTAGAAGCTCATTTTCTTGATCTCCTTCTGAGGCCTGGCCTCTGAAGGACACCTAGTCAGTGAGAGTTATTTCCAAGTTTATCAACAGTAACCAGCAAGAATTAACATGCAAATGACAGTCAGAATCAGTGAGCTTCCTCAGGGAAATGGTTACTGACAGATTTCCTTCCTTGGGAGACAGCATACTTACTAACCCAGGTCATCTGAAAAAAAAAAAGAAAAAAAAAAAGGAGGAGGGCAAGGCCTTCTTGCAAAAATTCTTTGCAGTATTTAGCATTTAAATGATATGAATATATTTTAACTAATTATATTAATTTAAAAAAGAGTTGTAGAAAAGCTGAAAAAAAAATCAAATGTCTATAAAGATAAGCCTCCTGGGCGCCTCAGTCGTTAAGCGTCTGCCTCGGCCCAGGTCATGGTCCCAGGGTCCTGAGATCGAGTCCTACATCTGGCTCCCTGCTCAGCGGGAAGCCTGCTTCTCCCTCTCCCACTGCCCCCTGCTCGTGTTCCCTCTCTCACTGTGTCTCTCTCTGTCAAATAAATCAAATCAAAAAAAAAAAATAAATAAAGATAAGCCTCCTTCCCTAGTTCTCCTCGTCAGAAACAGTTGCTGTTAATCACTTTGTTGCGTATCCATCCAGAAATATATTATGTTTACACAGCATATTTATGTAGCCATGTCTCTATCTTTCTTATACAAATGAGATCATCTTGTACACACACCATTCCATATTTTGCCTGGACCCAACTTCGTTTCAGAACACAGAATCTATTGCATTCCTTTTTATTTTATTTTATTTATTTTATTTTATTTATTCAGTATTATTGTTTAAGGGCCCCAATGTGGGGTCTGAACCCATGACCCTGAGGTCAAGACCTGAGCCAAGATCAGTCACATGCTCAACGAACTGAGCTACCTAGGAGTCCCTACTGCATTCCTTTTTAAACTGCATACCTCGCACGGGTGACTAGGATTTATGGTGCCACCTCCCTATTAATGTTCTTTTAGGTTCTTCCCCAATTTTGCTACCACAACCCTGATGTAATGACTAGTCTTGCATAAATGGCACTTCCCACACATCTGAGCCTATTTTAGGACACATATCTAGAAAGGGATTTCCTGGGGAAAGGATTTGTTCATTTATTAAGTTTATTTATTGCCAAAGAGGTTGTAGCAATTATACTACCATCTGAGAATGTCTATTTCAAAACACGCTCTTTTGTACCCACTCTTAGGCAACTGGAGTCTCAAAGTGGAGTCTATTTTAGGAGATGCCAGGTGTTTAAGGCCCAGGTTTATGAGTGTGGGGTGTGAGTACCAGTCTAAAAATCAGAGCAGATAGGTTCTACTCCTGGCTCTCGAATTCCCGAAAAGACCTTAGACCAGTTACTTACCCTCTCTGGGACCTGCATTTCTCATCTGATGACAAGACGTTTGAACTACAGAAATGTTGACTCTATGATCCCAAATCTGGGGCTCCCATCTGCTATGGTAATGGTCATTCACCACAATGTATGTATAAAGCAGCTCAATGGGTACACTCTTGTCAAGTCCCATTATGAGCCATTTTCATGTGGCAGGTGCCCTGTGAGATACAAAAGATAAAGTGTGAGCCTTGACCTTTTAAGAACCATAGCTAGCAAACCTTAAGGAAGTAGTGAACTACAACTGACAGCATACAACCCAGTGTCATATTGGGTGGCATGGACCACAAGGCTGAGATTGTCCAGAGGAGGGAGGCCTGACACCAGGCCCTTGGTATCAGCATGGAATTCATAGAAAAGTGCCATTTCCCCAAGATAAAAACTTACCAGGCAAGGATGGTAAAAAGGAACTTGGGGGCATATGGTATTATGAAAGCCCGACCCACATAATGAAACAGCACACCGGAGCACGGGGAAAGCGCCCACACTGAATGCAGTTGCGCCTTATGACTTGTTTGCACAATCACTGAGAAACAAAAGTGAACTCCCAACCCCATTACTGACCTTCCTTCCATAATATTTCCTGTCTCAGGTGACAGCAACTCTATTCTTTCAGTTTGGTCCAACCCTCAAATCACCTTTGACTCCTCCTGCTCATGACCCATGTCCAGGCAATCACCAAATCCTATTCAACAACTCTATCTTCAAAAGAGATCCAAAATCCAAGTCCTTCTCTCTACCTTCACTGCTCCCACCTTTTGTCTGGGGCCGCCAACATCTCTCCCCTCATTCACCCCTTCCCTCTATCGGCCCTGCTAGCTTCCTAGTTGCTGCTGGCACACTCTAGCCTCAGAGCCATGGCACCGGCCACTCCCTCTGCCTAGAAAACGCTTCCCTAAGATAGCAGCAAGCTCATACCTTTGCTACTTTCTCAAGGAGTCCTACTCTACATTCCCAACCCTCTTTATTATGTTCTACTTTTTCTCACAGCACTAATTGTACTATATAATAAAATTACTGTTTTCTTACATTTATTGTAAGATAAATGCTTGGCTCCCTTCAACCCCTGCCCCACTGGAATGTCAGCTCCACAAGGGCAGGGATTTATGTCTGATTGCTGCACTGCCTTAATACGGTGCCTGGCTCATAGAGGGACTCAACATGTATTTGTTGAAGGAATGAATAAATAAATCATGGGACTTTCTGATGAGCTGCGATGAGGAGAGAATGGGCCGGACAGTCACCATCAAAATGGGTATTTTTCTCTTGGCCTGTTTCTGTCCTCTGATAAGAAAATTAGTATATCCTATTCTGATTCTCAACTGAATGTCAACCTAGCCATTATGGAGTAAGAGAGGGGGAAAAAACAGAGTGGTTACACCAAGAGCTTCACTTCCTGGCTCTGTCACTTACTACTTGTGTAAGTCACTCTCCTTGGACCTCGTTTTCCTGTCTGCAAACTGGGGGCAACGATACAAACCTCCTAAGGAGAGATTAAGTAAGATAATGTAAAAAACATTTTAGCAGGATGCCTGCCATTTTGTAAGTACTCAAGAGATCTTAATCAGTTAGTGATATATAACAGAGACATCACGTCCTCCCCTAGAATCATCTTCAAGAAGGGCC